ATATTATCGATCTTATATATCAATATCTATATCATTTTAAACAGCAAAAAATTCGTAGTTTATTGAGAATCATGCAAACCTTTACAAAACTATATACAAGCGGCAAATCTCCAAAAATCTGCAAAAAAAATCGGCAAATGTTCACTTACCTCAAGTCCCCCGCGGAATTCGCGGGGAACTTCAGTAGTTGAAATGTACAAGTGGGAGGGCAGAAGCAACGAATTTTAAATCGTTAATTTTTTTTAAAAATTTCTATAGGTGCTTCAATAAAGCCAAATTATGGAATGTTTGGAGAAGCGATGAATTCTCCACATACGCTTGAGTCTAAGGCTCTTGTAGAAGGCTGTATAGATTAGACAGTTCTTGATTACCTACTCTATTGCCTTTTATATCAACATGGGTGGCATTTTCCTTTTATCAGTGACCTATTCAATTTTTGACCCACGGCTTAGTCTTTGACCTACTTGGGCTTATCAGCTTTTTTATCATCACCAAGTCTCTAGATCCTCATTTGAACAAACCTTTATTCTCACTTTGGGCCGTCAGTTCTCCTCCGGTTTTGAATTTCAAAGAACTAAATTTTTGATAACTAAACACTTTTGAATTATTTCACCTTCTGGTCATTTTAAGCGATTTAATTTTTGAACCGTTTTTCTCTAGGAAAAGTTTGCTTTGTCTAAATTTGTTCGCTTCCATTTTATCAATAAACTGAAAATTTTTGCTGATTACAGTGATATAGATATTGATGACATTACTGATAATATCGCGCCATCCCTGAGGCTGCTATTGCACCTCAGCGTGACGAGGTGCGAGGAAACCTTTCGGCGGGGTATAAGACTAGCGTAATTACCTACCATATGAGGCTGCGCTGACGCCAGCTCTGGCGGCTGGCTGCGTCAGCAGTCGGCTGCCCGGTACCACTTACTACGCACCCATCTTTTTGTAGAACTTGCTTTGCTCTATCGAATGGTTTCTTAAGTCTGTTAGGAGAACAAGAACAGCTCAATTTTTAAAAATGGAGTTTTTTTGGGACAACCTAATACAACGGTCGTCTTTTTGTATTAACCTCAGCATATGCTTAACACATGTATAGTCGTCCTCACCCCACTAGTCGGTCGGTGGTCGAACTTGAATACGAACTGCAGCAGACTGGCCGCGGCAAAGCGCGGCAGACCGCCTCTCAGCCAACCGCTTGCACATAAGCTTTTCTCTTATTTTCTTCGTGTTTCTTTGCTATCTTTCGTATTGCGGCAATGTGCTTTATCAGATTTTTAGATTTCGCACCGCTAACTATTGTTTTGTGCAGTTGTGCTCGTTTGTTTTACATTTTTCTCCATGCAAACCGGGAAGAAGGATGTGATTGGAGATTTTTGGATGAGAAATCTCTTTTTTCCGGTAAACGACATATGCACAAATTTGATTTGATGAAATGTGTCAAGTTTTTCGTTAGGGTATGTACTCTAGACTATTTTTTGCGGTAAAGCTGAAATTCTCCAAAAAGTGTTCATTTCAAAGAATTAGCGGTACGAATCTGAAAGTCTGATTAAAAACACTGCCACAATACGAGAGATAGCAAAGAACACGAAGAAAATAAGAAGAAAGCTCGTGCAAGCGGTTGGTTGAGTGGCGGCGTCTGCCGCGCTCTACCGCGGTCAGCCTGCTCCAGTTCGAATTCAAATTCGACCATTACCGAATAGGGTGTGAGCACGACTATACACATTCAACTGTACTTTCCGTATTTTTTTCATGACTAGAAATAAAGAAAGAAATGAATGGGGCAAAACGGCAAATTTCGCCCTTAGACATCTTGAGCTCTCCCAAGCACATGATCATATAGCTTATACATACAGAAGTACGATAATGTATTTGTACCCTTTGTAGGGGCCGCAATTCTCGAGAAATGCTGATGTTTAGGATAAAAACGTAAAAAAATTATGAGGCACCCTATTCAATGCAACCTGTATTTGCTTGCCTTGAATATTGAAATGACCTTTTTTTGCTATCCAGAATCGAGATTCTATTGCGATCGTGCACCTAGAGCAATTCTTTCACATTGGAATTAAAACTGGCTGATCACTGACACCGTCGTGAACACTAACGTTGGGACTCTATGAATTTTCTTTCCAACTCTAACTTTCTTGACCTTACAGTCGAGCCGCCGTCAAGAAATTTACAATATTTCAACAAAACTTTGGATATTGAGACTTTTGATATAAATCCTATATCGTCTCTTGCCATGGTTACAATTTTTTCAAAATCATTTCCGGTGAGGTACCAGAGCGTTTGAAACTCAGACCTGTCGATGTTTCTCATGAAAGCAAACAGCTCGAACGTCTATGAAAATATTGTATTGCTTTTCACCAGTGATTCTAAAATACCTTTCTTCTCAATGTGTTTCCAACACACAAAACATCCAGTTAGAAAAGAATTCAAAAGGTATCGTGCTGCCCCGCTGCAGCTTGTTTCGCAAGTTGAATGTTGGAATAACAACATTCGTTTCTTTGTTTATGCAAATCTACAATAATGTCATCTTAAAACAAAGTGACACAAATGTTGATGAGCTCAGGGTTGGCAACACAGAAGTTCTAGTAAGTCTCGTTGAGCATGTAATAAAATGTCAATTTTTTTCCAAAGGTGGCGAAGGGTTGTCACTTCTTTGTGAACCCTCAAGACTAAGGGCCGCATGCACTAACATCCCCGCAGGGAGGGGATCGCAGCTCAAAAGAAAGCTTCATATTCTGAAGCTCCAGATATCTGGATTTCACGTTGTGTACCTATCCGTAAGTATTCCTACTACGCTTCACTGTGAACATGTTGAACAGGAGCGAGAAGCTGTACAAACCGCATTTTCCAGCTTTTGTATGATCCCTGATGATCCCCGGCGCCTTTCTTTAATGTCATTTTTCTTTCTCCAAAGTTAACGAAAAACCTCCAAAGTTGTGCAGATTATCTAACCCGACAGTGCTAAGCATGTTGCTGATAAGAACAAATGATGTTTTGAAGTCATGAAATTTTCGATGATCCACAGGTCGAAATTTGAGGTTTACCGAAAAATTCAATTTTTCAAAAACTCATTTGTTCTCATCAGCAACATGCTTAGCACTGTTGTGTTAGATGTTCAGTTCAACTTTGGAAGGTTTTCGTTAACTTCGGAGAAGGAAAAATGACTTCAAAGAAAAGCGCCGGGGATCATCAGGGATCATACAAAAGCTGAAAAATGCGGTTCGTACAGTCTCGCTCCTGTTCAACATGTTCATAGTGAAAGGTAGTAGAAATACTTACGGATGGGTACACAACGTGAAATCCAGGTATCTGGAGTTTCAAAATATAAAGCTTTCTTTTGAGCTGCGATCCCCTCCCCAGCGGGGAGGTTAGTGCATGCGGCCCTAAATGTGGTGTAAGGATATAAGCAATTTTTTACAAATGTCTGGCAAAACGGATGCTACGAAAATACTGGAGCTTTTCATGCTACCGTAACAGGATGAATACGAGAAAATTGAGTGAAGTTCTGTGTTTAATGGAGTACCTGATTTGTTGAGTCAAAAATACAAATTGCTTTTTTGAATGGACAGTAACAATGTTCGTCTATCACATACAACACATTACAACATCGTTATGCCGAAATCCATCTTATTGTCAGTTTTGATTATAAGTGTATGCAAAACGAAGTGAAGTCAAAAAATGATTTTGACCGATGGGGATTCCGAGCAATGATGGAACGCATCAAAGCATACTTCTTCCAAATTCTGCATAAAATCGAAAGAAACTCTGTGTACTTCCATAGACGTCAGTATCGCTTTTCGCAACCATCGCAACTATTAAGTCGTTCCGAAAGTTCTTTCCGTTTTTTCAACCTATCATGAAAACACGTGGAATGAAAATAGGGAAACAAATCAGGCACTGTCCGACGCAGCTATTCTACCTCTTTTCAACTGCCATATTCCTGTGTCCCTTGCTCTTGTGATCAGTAAGATAATGGCCGAAATTTCGAGCCCATGGTTTTATCACGTCCAACTTTGGCGATTTTTCACAATGTTCTTTTTTGACTTTTGGAAAAGCTTTGATAGCAGACAGAAGTAAACAAAGTGCAATTTTCTGCAATTTTTTGGCGGTTTCACCTAGCTTCTCAGTATTTTTGAGTGACTCTTCCAGAAATCTTCGCTTTTTCAAAGTCACAAAATACACAAACGCTCCGAACATTAACAAATTTTCGGATTTCGACACTTTCAAAAGTCGTTCATGATTGTCCACTATTTTTACAAAGTAAATGAGTGTTTACGCTTTGAAATATAATATTTCGCATTTCACGTGTACACCCCTAGGCGGGTTTAAAATCAAGAATGATGAAAATTTTATTGCCAAAAGCCCCCACAAATTGGGAAGAAAAATAACCAATAGAAAGAGGAGGAAAAGCTGCATCGAATGACAGCTTGCTTGTGCGTCGTTTTATGTTTTATGGTTCTTGGCATCCCAAAAGTGGAATTTGATAGCATCAGAAAAATAATTCTAAAGAATTTTTCAGGCTAGATATAGACGCCGAAAAATTGCATTAAATTGCACTTTGTTTACTCTATCTGACTGTTACCAAAGCTTTTCCAAAAGTCAAAGGCGAAGATTGTGAAAAATTGCCAAAATGGACATGGTAAAAACCATGTGTTCAAAATTTTGGCTATTATTAGCACTAATTTCAAATAGTATTTGAGTGATCATCGTCTTGAAATCCAGAGATTTGAAATCTCAAAAATCCCGTGCACCTCTGAATGAAAAAAAAATCGTAGAAACTTTGCGACTTTCGATTAAACAAAGAAATTTACTGTGAATTTGTGGCAGCTAAACGGGCTGAAGTTTTCAATATTAAGCTTTGTAAATGCTGTCGACTTATTTGTGTTGTCAAGCCAACAGAGGTCTCCGCATCAATTTAATACCTTCCAAGTGCGGATTTTTTGATCAGGACTTATTTTTGCCTGTTCATTGCAGTTTTTTTTTATCAACCTGTGGCACTTATTCCCATGAACTTCATGTATTCTGTAAATTTCATCCCACGGAAAGCACTAATATGAAGACTATGTATTGAAGTAGAGAAAGCAGGTTGCTAATCCAAAGGCTGATAGTCCGGTGTTAGAACATTTCTTTCATATGTCGCATTTCTTCCCTAAATGGAGTTCCAATTTTGTTCCATGTGCAAATGACACAAATGTTTGAAAAATAGTAAAAGCCACTCCACACAGACAAAGGTCGTAATTCTTTAAAGGATAAATATTTACCATAGTTTTTTGATACCTACCAAATTCTTTGAGAAACGCTGCGAACCCTTTGTAAATTTCGCACAACTCATCGCGAGCCTTCTTGCTCAAAGATTCCACAAATGGTTTCAACCTGAAAAGTGAAATTCCTGACAAGTGCCCTCTATATTTCTCCACAGCAGAAGTAGATTACTTATGAAAAGATGACTTCCGCTTTAGCGTCTTCGACCACACTTCTTCTTCTTCAAACAAGACTTCATTAAACTGAAAAAAGTGTGTTAAATGTATAGTCATTGAACAACGCTACAAGTACATTCATCCAGCTGTCGTTTTATTTAGATCAATTTTGATGGAAAAGCTCAAGTAGTTGTTGCTTCTTACGTCCTGTACAAACTTCTTTGATTCCGGGCTCAGGTGAGTCCAAATATCATACGCAGCGTTCATTTTTCTGGTGAGTTTAGTGTTGTACGCAAGGTAATCGGATGCCTGAAATAGTCGACAGTACAAGGTCATTCCGCTTTTGCTTACTTAGAATTCAAATTTTACCTTTCCCCCATGATAATTGACAGCATAAGCTATCAAATCGTGATCATCGTTAGTCCAACCAAATATACTTTTCCAGTAATCATAGACATGAGGCTCTATAAGAGTGGTTCTCGAGACGTAGAAAAGTCGACAAATTTTGGTTACCTTTACTGTCGCCAAAGGGTAGGAAAAAAATTGCGACTATGACAAGGGCAAACATCGTTGCCCAACGGCTTTCTCTACTCTAAGCCGTTCTTAAAAGGGTCGTATGGCGTCAATGTTTTAAAAGCAACACAAATCGATGTATTGCTGCCACATTGCAATTCACATTTTCAGAATCATCTTAACAGCCAAATGAATTGGCAAACGATAAGATAGACGAATATAGTTGGAGTTTAGTAAGAACGTTATTTATCAAACATCTAGGCATCAAATCAGGGCCTACTATAAGTGGTACATGTGTAGGTTGCATTCGCTCGGGGCTAAGAAGCAAAATGATTATCGTTTATAATTGGAAAGTTGCTAAAACATACTCAAGGATGACCAGCCGTTGGAACTTTTTGAGAAGGCAACTAGGTACCTTTTCGTTTTTCGGGCCAATTTTTCTCAAAAAAGAGAATATTGCTTCGTTTCTTTTACCATGTTAGTTCTCAGCTTTACAGTGGAAGTGTCAAACTCCTGCTGCGTGCCAAAGTGCATGTCATATACTAGGTTCTTCCGAAAGTTTTGTTCGTAATTGCCTTGTTTCGCATCTAATTTTCTGGTTTTGCCCTATTGCGGTATCATGGACACCTTCTTAGGCCCGTATGCACGTACATCCCCGCTGGGGAGGGGAGGGGAGCTAGATTCCCAGGGGAACGGTCCCCTCCATTGAACCCCGCTATGACAGAGGGGAGGGGAGCGATCCTTTTCCCTGCACTTACAGCGAAGATGGTGCGCATGCGGTAGTCGCTTCTACCTCACGGCTACTACAAGAACTCGCCGAAAAAGTTATTTTGGTCAATTCTTGTGTGTACTAGAATATCCTTCAAAACGAAATGTACAAAATTAGTACTCGCGTGCATTTGTCCCTTTCTCACTCTTTTCCTTCCACCCTTCTCATTTATCTCTCCCCCTTCGCTCTTTTGTTCTCCGTATTATTACTATTTTAAAGCTTCGTTATACTCGCTACATGCTGTCAATAGTAATAATGTTAATTTTTGAAGTAGGGTGTGTCTATTTCGCAGTTCATGTTAACATTTTCTTGCAATTATGTTGTGGCGAAGTGCTTCGCAGCATTTTGTAGTTTCCGTAGTTCCCAGCGTTAGAGAGTTCGCGGTACTGTTTCGCTGCCTCAGATTTAGCATTTGGTTTTGGAGGTATTGATCGAACACCCCAGTGGGGATCCCTTCCCTTCCCTTCCCCGTATGCATGAATGTAACTCAAAAACGCAGGGGAGGGGATCGACATCCCCTACAGCGAAGTAGGGGTTCAACGGTGTAAGTCATGCCAGAGAAGCGAATATTCTGCTTTCAATCAATTATTACAGAGCATTTCGTTTAATTTGATGAAAAATTTTCTTTCAAAGCTGGGTTCCTCTCCAATCACTTGCAGCTTGTAATTTTATCTCTCTCTTCTACTTTCGGTTCTCGCGAAGAGATTCGAGCAATTATCTGCCAATTTCGAACGTCTTGAGGAGTTTTTGGTCATTTCCGAGATCTTTGCAGTACTCATATGACAAGATAGTTCTATCCATGTAGGCTACTCGAACACATTGTAACTATAATATCATGTGTTATGTTGCCCTTATCTTCTTATTCCAGCATGATTTGCTTCGAAAAAAACCAAAAAATTAGCACATTGACCTATTTCTGAATAAAGATTTCCGGGGGAGTGATCCCCTCCCCAGTGTTCCCCTCGTGCATAGCAAGGATGACCGCTGGGGATCATTCCCTTGAGGTAGTGGACGGTATATCGTGATAGCTGCAGCCTTTATGGAAAGCTGGTACGATTTGCAGCTTCTGTTATGTGTTAAAATACTGCTTTAAGTGTCTGCGAGGCACCCCCCCCCCTTTTTTTCGGCAGCATAACGTCTTCTACCCATTCCCGTGCAGAGACACCTTGACTTCTGTAGTTCAACATTTCTACGCTGGAATGGGGCAGCATGAGCGAAAGTGGGCAGCACTCAAAAAAGCAGGAACATCGTAGGAGTAGAAAAAATCATTTTTGGTGCGCCGAGCGCAGTCACTGCATACGCGCATTCCAAACCTAAATTATTAAAATTGAGGAGATGAAGATGAGTTGCAGTCAAAAGATGAAAAGAGAGAGTTTTTCATAGAAAATTTGGAAGCAAGGTAATCTCCCCGCTTGATCCCCTCTTGTGCATAAGGGGGTTCACTTTCCCTCCCCACAGGGGATCCCTTGTCCGATATTGTCTTTGTGCATACGGGGGTTCGCGTGAGGAGGGGAGGGGATCTCCAGCGGGGATCATTTCAATGGTAAAACGCACATCCCCTCCCCGCGGGAATGTACGTGCATACGGGCCTTACAAGGCCTTGTTAGAGGCATTTTCTGGCCCTCAATGCTTGATAATGATGAGACAGCTCAATGATGAAATTTCAAGCCCTGAGGTTGAGGTATCAAAATGCTCATGAAAACTTTATAAAGAGAACTTTCGCAGTATTTGTAAACCTACCTATGTAATATTATATTATAGTAAGTGAAGGTTTAATGGACTAAATACGCGCACTTTTACTCCCATGTAAGAAGTTTCACTCTTCGAATTTTTCTTTGGAAATCGAAAAATCCCTCTGGGGTATTTAGCTTTTTTTGTTTTTGAATTTACAAGCGAAATCAAGAAATAGCAAAAAGTCTTCGTGCTTGCTTGCGCGGAGAAAAGCTCAAATAATGGCTTTTTTGATTTCCTCTCAAAAATTTCTATGTAGCAAAGACAACTTGAACTCTGTTTAGCCAAAAGTTTTCTCTGATGTGTGGGTTACTCAACAATGATAGTCGAATATGTTTGCCTATCCTCATAAGAAAACATTGGCATACCAAAATAAAAGGGCCTTTGAGAAAACCTTGCAAAATTTCAAAAATTTTCTCTTTCCACTCGCCTTCTTCACATAGCATACTGTTCTCACGATAGCCATAGACTTGCCTAATTTAGCTAGATTTAATTTGTTCAAAATTTTTGGAAAAAACTATAGCATTTTGAAGTGAAAATCTGCGAATCGGAACACTTTCGGAACAACCCAGTATATGTCTAACAGCTTAACACGAGTTTTATTTACCCAGGTAACTAAAAGTTCTTCTGTTCTTAGATCAAAAATTCATTTGCAACAAAAAAAAATGAAAAACTAGCAACATCATCATAAGCGACATCCGGTAAGCAAATAAACATATCAGATTTGCGCAGAACAAAAAATAGCGCTAAGGTTCTATCATTAGCGGAAAAGCGCTTTAGTAATGTAGCTCACGCCATCATTCGCATTTCTTCCTGGCTGCATGGAAGAATTAAATTGAGGAAGAAAAATAAAATTAATTTGACGGGTTTTTCGAAAACCATTTCCGGTGAGGTACGAGAACATTCAAAAAGACCCAAAAAACCAGCTATTTTTTAACTTCATGTCTTTTTGGAAGCGTAAAAGTATTTCTTTAAAGGTTTCATTGCCTAAAAAATGTATGGTTTTTGGGCCTTTTCAAAAGCCCCTGGAATCTGAGATGTATACTGTCTTATAGAGTATGGAACGTTGATTCCAAAACTGCTTTCATTGTTTGCAAAGCGTTTCTAGGCTTGGAATCATGAAAATTTTTTGAGACAAAAATTCATGATTTTGGATGAAGTAAAACGAGTGTTATGGTTTTCGGTGCTTGGATGGAATAACCACTAACTTAAGTTTATAAGACTGAAGGTTTTAGCTGCACGAAGCGCTTTGGCACTAATCATGACTCCATGCGAGTTTACAGGCTACACTTCTGAATGATTATTGTAGCTGAGCCTTGAAATTAAAAAGATGCGTGACTCCCTCCCATGAGCGCTTTCCAAATAATGAAAGCAGATTCGGAATTAGCGTTCCGTGTCTATAAGACTTTACACATTTCCTATGGAAATGCCACTTTAACCAAGTATCCTTCCCTTGTAGGTATCGGTCTGATCTAACATGAGTAGGGAACTATATATCGCCAAAAGTGGAAGGCGCCGGACATGTGGCAACAAATACACACTCCAGTACATGCCGGTGCTGAGTATCTGCTGCATTGTCCGCACGGAATCCTCCCACTTCTGAACGATTTTGTGGCTCAGCCTTAATTTACGGCAAGAAATTTCTATAACTCCCTCACATGAGCGCTTTGCAGATAATGAAAGGATTCGGAATTAGCGCTCCATGTCTATAAGACTGTACACAATTCCTAGACGAAAAAAAGGAAAAAGTGGAAACGCCACTTCGACCAAGTATCCTTCCCTTGTAAGTATCGATCTAATCTTACCTGGGGGACTATATCTCGCTAGATGGGAGATTCCGCCGGACATGTGCAACAAATACACACCCCGGTACATGCCAGTGCTGAGTAACGGGAAGAGGACATTAAGTCGGAAGCTCCTAGGCGGACATTTGCAACAAACCGCGCTTTCACGACTACTGCCTCATGCTATCTGTCCTCGTGGGTAAAGCCTGATGGCAACCTAATGTCCTCTACCCTTGAGTATCTGCTGCATTGCCCACCGGGCCTTCTCACTTCTGGCGAGGTATAGTCCTCTACCCATCCATGTCTCTGCGTGAAGTAGTAAAGGTTAGAACGTGAAAAGTTCCGCATTCTATCCATTGGCATTGAAGAAATTTGAAGAAGTTTAGGCGCTAATCTAAAAGATTCTTATGGCTGGCTTCATACTCAGACAATCACAGGCTCTCAGCCGGAGCCACAAAGCCACCGCGAAAACCCACCAAAAGTGCGGTGGCCTCATCGCCTTACTGTCGCTTCCCGCTGAGAACTGGCAGCGAGCGGGCTGCTATAAAGCCTTCAGCGCGAAGCGAAAAGCCTTCAGCGCGAAGCGAAAGCGGCGGTTTCGCTTCGCGCTGAAGGCTTTATAGCAGTCCGCTCGCTGCCAGTTCTCAGCGGGAAGCGACAGTGAGGCGATGAGGCCACCGCGCTTTTGGTGGGTTTTCGCGGTGGCTTTGTGGCCGCCGGCTGAGAGCCTGTAATTGTCTGAGTACTGATTCCCATGTTCCGGAACCGTTCCCGCACAGTTCCCGCATTGTGCTGGAACTGTTCCGGAATTGTTCTGCATGCAGTGCTGTGGCCGCCCGCT